AAAAATGCCCACTGTCAGAATTGAACTAACGACCTCTTGTTTACGAGACAAGCGCTCTGCCCCTGAGCTAAGCGGGCATGGGACAAGCCACGGGACCTGCTTCCTGATGGGCTGGTTATTTGTGAGAAGCACCTCCGTGGGACGGATCACGCAGGCAATCGGTTTCCAGGGGTGATCTGGCGGAGCGGAGACCGTCTCCGTCGTCATCCGCACCTCTGGCGATGCCATGTTTGCACGCTGGAAACACGCCGTCATGCAGCGCAGCATGCATGGCTTTTCCGCACACATACACACCAACATCTGCCCAATCGTAATGCGCCACTGGACAACTGTGGTGTCTATGTGGTTGGACTTTATGCCAAACAAGGGGGGACAAATAGCAATGCTCACACTTGCCCGCCCTTCCTCTAATGCTGAATCCTCCGGCGGCTCATACGCCCATCAGCTTCACCATGGTCTGGCCATATCGCGTGGAACCTCCTCCCCCTGCATACACGGTGTGTGAGTATCTACCCGCGGCTCCGTATATTCGGCGGCATGTCGCTATACTAGTGCAATGGCTACGGGGCTGCGCCTGTGGACAAGAGGGAGGGGCGTTCTGTCGCAATTATGATACAAACTTGAGGCACCTCGTGTCGGCATGCGTGGCCTTGCACGGCAGCGAGCAGAACCGCATTCCGCAGTCCACACAGGTGTAGAGGCCCCTGTACCCGCACACTGAGCAAAAGTGCCTGGGCGGCGTCAGCGCAACAGCCGTGCATGACAGGTAGAACAGCGTGTCCTGGCTGCCCTGCCCCGCTGCTTGGTCCATTTCCATTGTCAGGATGTCGGCAAGCGTCCTTCTCTGCATGAGGTGCCGGCTCTTCTTGCGCTTAGCGCGCAGCGACTGGGTTGCCGCCTTGCCGTGTCTGGCACTGTCGGCTGCTAGCTCCGAGTCGAGCTCGGGAATGCTCGTATAGTTCTCGCTCTCCAGCCGCTGCAGCCGCGCGCGCTGCCGCTGCACAATGGTTGCCTGGTCCCAGTGATAGCCCGAGCGACCCGCCGCCCTCCGTCCTGTCTGCATGGCGTGTACTCTGGTCAAGACGATGGTTTATAGTGTGTGACACATACTTGACATGCTCCCCCTCGTGGTCGCGCCGAGTGGAAACCCTGGTAGCCAAACCCGCGGGGTATGGGCTGGCTGGAGCTGGGACTAGGAGTTTGTGGTACTCGATCCAGCACACCAGGTTCTGTGCGACAGAGCCACGGGCAGCCTGCTGCGCTAAGGGAACACTGCCTGGTCAGACATGGACTCCGCCGCCTGCGCAGTGCCGCCCAGATCAAGATACATGAGGTCGCTGACCAGCAGCGCTTCGATAAACTCCATGTCCGGCTCGGCCAGCGTGAATGCCGCCTGGTATGTCTGCACCGACGCGTTGTGGATGAACGTGTCCAGCTCCCGGATCGAGGACACCGAACGCACCCTGATTATCGGGCGCTTCAGGGGGTTTGCAGTCAGCGCATCCAGCTCCTCGCTCTCGAGCCCGCCTTCTCGCGCGGCATCCAGCCCCTGCTGCAGCACCGGCTGGTATACCAGATTCGTTGGGTCGCTGTCCTCAGCAACCAGCAGCTGCGGGTAGGTCGCCTCATCCCCGCCGCGAGGGCCATCCGCTGGCCGTCTCTTGCTGCTACCGCCGCCACCGCCATTGCCACCCGGTAACGTGCGCCGCGTTGTCGATGGCATCGAGAGAAGGCGCGTGCTCAGGCGGTCCAACAGCGCATACGACGCGCTGCGCGACGCGTACAGGGCGTCAATGGTGTCCGTGATAAAGATCCACTGGTGGATCATAAAGTCCTCGGTGCCCAGGATGAACAACAGGTCCAGGAACTTGCACGCGGCCAGGAACAGGTTCGCCTGCTCCTCGCCGCGCCCATCGCTGCGGCCCAGCTGCTGCAGACACAGGCGCATCAGCTCGGTCAGGAGCATCGGCCAAAAGTTCGACATGTGCTGGTTCGCGATGCGGCACAGCAGCACGCGCAGGCACAGGAACACCTCCATCTGCACCACGGGGTGCGGGGTGCTCTTGAGTATCTCGACCAGCTTCTCCTGCACGTGCGGCAGCGACGACAGGTACTGGTTGACCGTGCCCGCCCAGATCACAAAGCTCAGGCGGCGGAGCGCAATCGCCCGCATGTGCGCCTCGTGCTCGCGGTTGGCAAAGATGGCCGGGGCCGCCGACGTGGATGACACCTTGGCCAGCAGATCAGCAAACTTGTCCTTTTCGCTTGCAAGCAGCGCGCGCAAGAGCTGTCGCCAGTGCACGGCCAGCGCCGGCGACATGGTTGCGTGCTCGGACAACGTTGGTGCGGGGAAGAACTTGGCGTCGCAAAAGAACTCCCACACCTCGCGCCGCCACACCTTCATTAACGGTGCCTGTTGCCCAAGCGCGTCGAGGCAGCGGAGCACCCGCGCAAAGTGCCGCGACTTGGACGCAAGCGCCTGCGCCGGCCCGCTGTACCCGCCGGTCATATGCGACCGGAACGCCGGCGTCACCGCATAGTGCATAATGTTGGATGCGATGGTGACCTGCCGCTCATAGTCTGGCACCAGCTGCGCAAACAGCGGAATCACCATGTCGCCAATGTACGTCAGCGTGTGGTCGATGATGTCGTCCTCGGACAGCAGGTGCGTTGCGGCGCCGTCGGCAGACCTCAGAAGCGCATCCGTCCGAACAATCAGTGCACCACCGCTGCCGCCATTCGCTGTGTCAGCTGCAGCCCTGCGCAGCCATGTCGACTGGTCAAACGAGCGACCGGCTATCAGGATGCAGCTGTCCACCATCTGCGCATACTGGGTGCTCAGCTCCCGCGTATATCCTCGGTGCGCCGCGTCCGGGGCCTGCACGTTGTTGCTGGCAAGCCGCTCGCAAAGTTCGGTGAACATCCGCAGGAGGAACGGCAGCAGGAACTTGAACTGCTGCGCGCCGCCGTTGTACTCCTTGAGCATGGACTGGATGTGCGGGACCAGCACGGCGCTCGAGCGCGCCGTCAGCCGGTGGCGCGCGTACAGCTCGACAAACCGGATCAGCGCAATATCCTCGACCAGCGACATGCGGGCATGGGGCCGCGCGTCTGCGACAAGCGTTGCGGTGCCGCCGCCTGACGATACGGACGAGTAACCGGCACCCGCGCCAGCCGGGTCAACCGATCGGATTTGCAGGTCGTTCAGCAGCGTCGTGAGGATGGCGATTGGCGACTGACCCGAAACCCGCTCCAGGAGATCAGTGGCACGCCAGCTCCACTTTATCGCCTCGGCAGGCGCCGCCGTCGCCGCCGCTGCCGCCACCGCGGCGCTGTCGCTGGAGCCGGGCGGATGTCCCTGGGCCATCTGCAGCGAAGACGTCGACGACGACTGCCGCCGCCGCGAGCCCTGGCCCGCGCCGGTGCGGACAGACGCCTCCAGGCTGGTGATCCACTGCGGGTTGTCGGCGACCCACAGGGCCGTGATCGCTTCCGTCACTTCAGTCGGCTGGGCCGCGACTGCGTGCTCGAGGATTCGGGTGATCCGGCCGTGCACCGTCTTCTTCACGTGTGCGCCAGCGCTCTCGTCGCCGTGGCTCTCGGCAATGCCAAATTCGGCCAGCAGCAGACCATTCAGCTCCGCGCAGGCAGGCAGCGCCTGGCCGCGAGACTCGCTGGGCAGGCTGTGGCGGCGGCCAAAGTCGAATGCCTCCCACACCTCCTGCAAGACCGCCAGCATCGGCACGAGGTCAAAGCCAAGCGCCTCAATGTGCTCGACCGAGCCCGCAGCGCCGTCCGGCCCGCTCGGCGGCTGTGCCTCGCCCGACTCGCGCCCAGGGAGCTCAGGCTCGTCTTCGGCAGCGTCCTGGCCGAATATGCTCGAGACGAATCTGAGGATTGGAACGGCGCCCAGAGTACCCGACGACTCTGCGCTCGCGTTGCTTGCGCGCGATCCAGGCCGGTTCTCCGCGGCATGGGCGGCCATTGGGACCCTGTCGGCGTTCTTCAAGCATAGCGCCAGGAAGAAGTCAAAGGCATCAAGGAGCGCCACCAGCACGTCGACAGACATCGCTGGCGCAGCGGCCTCCGTGCTGGCCGCCGGAGCGACAAACAGCGGAACCAGCCGCCGCCACAGCTGGCTCGGCGTGCGCCGGTGGCGGGCGTGTGCCAGTCCGTTGGAGCGCCCAAAGTAGTATGAGCATTGCGACAGGATCAAGCGCAGCATGTGCAGGCAAGGAAGAGCCATCCAGCTCAGCAGGCCGCTCTCGCCAGCCGCACCGGCCGAAATGCTCTGCTGGATGTGCGGCTGACACGCGCGGACAAACCCGGCCCACTTGCTCAGGGCCACAATGTCGAGCTGCATGGAGAACGCCGCCAGCACCAGGCGCGACACGAGCCGCAAGTCTTCGCCGCTGCCGATTCCAGCCAGCCTCGCCTTGGCCGCCATGTCCACGGCAGCTGTCCCTGGCGCCTCGTCCGAGCGCACGCGCGCATTGACCAGGCTCGCCAGCAGGTCGAGAAGCGGCGGCTGTACCGCTGTTCGCTGATGGAGGACGCAATAGAGCAGTGCGTCGATGACGCGCTTGCGGATCGCCGCAATGTAGGTCAGAGGCCATGCAACGCCAGGTCGCGCCACAAGGAAAGCCGCCAGCTCAGCCGCCCTGGCCCTGGTCGCGTCCACCCCATCGACAGCCGTCGCAGAGTCGGCAAGCGCAAAGTCCACCGCTGCAGACAAAAGCGCCTGCAGCCAGCTCTGGCCTTCCGCCGCAAGCACATCATACACCGCCAGCGCTCGCGCAGACCGCGGCACCATGGTAGATGCCATGCGCTGCACGACGCCGTCGCCCGCCAACTCGACATAGCGGTGGACCGTCCCCAAGTAGTAGCTGATGCGCGCGCTGTCAAACCCCACCTCGTGCACCTGGCGCCAGGAAGAGTGCCCGGTGGCCAGCGTGACGCCTGCCAGGCGCCAGCGCGTGCGAATGCTGACGAGCAACAGGGTCAGCAACGTAACCACTATGCACTCCCACTCATCGGCCGATCGGTCGACCCACGCGCGCGATGCGGAGTGCTGCGA